CAATCATTTTCTTCATGTTTGCTATTGTTGTTTTGGGTTGCTGCTCTTAAATAGACTTTATTATTAAGAACAGTTTTAGGTTTACATAAAAACGGTGAAGAACCCACACGTATTCTCCTGTCCCCTCCTCCCCCAGCTGCATGGTTTGCCCTGTTATGAATATCATGCAGGCATGTAGTGCACTTATTGCAACGGACCGGTCAAGACCAAAACGTCCTTATTCACTGTCGGCCATGGTTCACACGAGGTGCACTTTGGGTGAGGTGCAGGACTACTGGCTTTCACAAAGATCTAAGCTCAGGTGTCCACCACGACAGTGTTATGCAGAATTGTTTCGACGTCCTAAAACAACTCGCTTTTTTCCTCCTCAATTTTATGTTTCTGAGATCCACCCGTGTTGGCGCATCAAACTTTAGTTAGGTTCCTTTCACTGCAGAATGAGCATGGTCACCCTTTATTGATTCTCGGAGTGATGAACATCTAGATCACCTTCAGCGTTTTGCTGTCATGAACACTATTGCTTTCAATTTTCTTGAACCCTCCTCCATAGCCGGACCTTGCCTGTATCATCAGAAATGGAGGGAATTTGCTTAGTCAGAAGAGTTAGACATACACACATATAGACACACACACATCTGTATAATATGTACACATGTTCTATACATAAATATAAATACACACACATACATGTATATGCTCCACCTTCCAGGGAAATCAATGGTTCTCTTGCTTTGTGCTAACTTACACTGTGGCTTCAGGGTAGAAGCAGCACCAACCGTGTCCTCTCTCACACTTGTGTATTGTCTGACTTCTTAATTTGGTCAATAGATTTCTTTTTTAATGTACCTGTCTAAAATACAGCATTTCAACCCCTAAAATGTCATGAGGGAACCTTGGCACCACAGTTAAGCCCTTGGCTGCAAACCCAGAAGTTGGTGGTTCAAACCCACCGGTGGCTCTGCAGGAGAGAAGACCTGGCGAGGGGCTCCTGCAGGGCTGCTGGCCGAGGAGACCCGATGGGGCAGCTCTCCTCTGCTCCGCAGGGAGCTGGGAGCTGGACGCTACTTGACCACACACAACAACAACAGGAGCTGGTGCCGTGACTGACAGGTCGCTGAGATTGAGTAGAACTGTGTGGAGGGATTCCAGGAAGACTTCTTGAGGGGAGGACTTCTGAGAAGAGGATTTTTAAAACCACTTATGTCCTATTTTTTGTTGTTGTTGTTCTAGCTACAACAGCTGACGTACCAACGGCCATCTTGGATTTGACCTGGAGGATGGAAGCCCTGTGCTAATATGGTAGAGGCAGAGCGACAGGTGACTCCTGTGTATCTACAGACTATGGGGCTACTCTGTGGCCAGTCTTGTGCCATCTGCCTCCGGGGTTGTTGCCCTCCCAAAAAGAGCCGATCGCCATCGAGTCAGTTCTATTCAGAACGACCAATTAGGGCAGATGGGAACTTCCCCAGAGGGGTTCCAAGGTTGTAATCCTTTATGGAAGCAGATACCACATGGTTATCCCCGAGCTGCAGAGCGGGTTCCAATCACGTACCTTTAACTTAGCAGCTGAGCCTTTAACTCACCACTAAGCCATCAGGGCTCCTTCTACCTTGTTAGGCCAATCTCATTTTCGTCACCCACTCCCTGGCATCTAGCCGACGCTGACTCACAGCGGCCCTATAGCACGGGGTAGAACCGCCCCTGTGGGTGTCTGAGATTGTAACGCTCTCTCCCCAGTCGTACGCAGAGGAACCTAATCGTACCTTGTCTAGCAGCCAAGGCAGGCACCCTGAGAGGCATGTCAGACCAAAGCCAGGGTTGGGATGCAGGTTCTCGTGGGCGGAGGAGGCGCTAAAAGGCCTGGCAGGTTTTGTGAGTTATCCTTTCTACAACACACTGTGTGAAAGGAGACCCGAGAAGCGTGGGGAAAATCTCACATCCACGTAATAATCTCAGGGGACTTATTCAAATGAAAATATCTCCAGCAATCCGTGGGTGCTCCGAATCATGGCAGCAGCACAGTGGAACTGGCCATCGTGAGGCACTGGCACTGCTTCTGTTGTTAGGTGTTGCTAGGTGACGCCAATCTGGTTCTGACCCCTAGTCCCCCTGCACGGCCACAGGAAACACCACCGCAGGTCCTACGCCTCCTCACAGCCGGGGCTTGGCTTGAGCCCAGACGGGCTCAGTGCAGGGTTTGATGCAGGGTATTTTTGTTTTTGAAGTACTATAACGTGATAACAAAATATACCTAAAAGCTCTCTCTTCTATGAAGCCCCTTCTGAACCCACAATTTAAAAGGCAGTTATTGTCTAACACAGCTCCCCACCTTCCCAAGAGAACAGGGAAGCAAAGAATGGCTTGGGTTCATTCTGCTGTGCCTCGCGTCCTCTGCGTCCTCTGCAGTTGCCATGGGCGTTCACATGGGCTTTGGGGTGCCTGGCGGCTCATGGGGTATTCTTCACTCACCGTGGCATTTTCAGACAGGAACCACTCCGGAATGGTGATGTGGTGATTGGGCACCCTCCGGGGGACGTTCTGTCGGTCCTCCGCTTCCCAGAGCAGTGTGTTTAAGTCAGGGAAGTTGTTGTTGATGTCGATGCCCTCGTGAGTCCAGCGCCCCAGGGACCAGCCTCCTAGCTCCGAGCCCTGGGAGACAATCAGATCACGAGGGGCCCACAGCCTGCAGGTAGTCAGCACTCAACACCAGAGACCCACCCACAACATCACCAATGGGGTAGGACAATGGCTGAGTGTATAGCGGCTAAGCAAGAGTTTGGAGGTTCGAAGCCACCCACTTTCTCTGTGGGAGAGAGACTCAGGATCCACTTCTGTAAAGATCCTACCAGGCAGCTCTACTTGATCACATGGATGGTCCGTGGGTTGGAATCAACTCTAAGGTGGCCACCAACCACAACTCTGAGCAACCGGAAGCCCTTTGGCCATAAAGGGCCTCCAGAGGAGAGAACTGAAAAGTTTGTGGACATTCCACTCTTCCAATTCCACTTTCCTACAAACGTTTTGAAGCCCCTCAGTGCTTAATATTTGGTGGGTAAGGGACAGAGGAGTCCGATGACCACAGAGTGGGAGTGCAGAGAACCACGCCCACCGCAGGGAAGTGCTGAAAAATTAAGTGATCTCTTCCCGCCCCCTTTTCCCTACTCCCCTCTACACCGGGGAGTCGTGACTCTAAGATTCCATGGTGGCAAAACCAGCCACCGCCCTGTCAGCACTTTCCAGACAGGCCCACCGTCCGGCTCCCTGGTTAGCTTTGCAACTCTTTGCACCAGTAACGGAGGTTCCACCATCGGGTTGGGTCTGACTCATAGCAATCCCGTGTGCAACAGAGCGAAGCACCGCCCGCCCCTGCGCCGTCCTCCCAAGTTCTGTTAAGTGTGAGCCCATGTTGCAGCCACAGTGTCAGTCCATCCCACTGAGAGGTCTTCCTAAGGTCCGAAGTTTCTACGATTGTTTTCTCTGGGGCCCTGGTAGCATAATAGTTAAGCAATGTGTTGCCTTCTGTAAGATCAGCAGTTCAAAACCACCAGGAGCGCCATGGGCGAAAGAGGAGGTTTTCTAATCCCAGAAACAGTTACAGCCTTGGAAACTCAAAGGGGCAGTTTTACCTTGTTCTATAGGGTCACTATGAGATGGCACTGACTCGATGGCATTGAGTTGAGTTTTGAGTTATTGTTTTAACTAAAAGCCCTGGTAGATGGTCAGCAGTTTGAAACCACCAGCCAAGCCATCTGAGAAAGAAGAGGCATTCTACTCCTGTAAAGAGTTACAGTCTCTGAAACCCCCAGGGGGCAGTTCTACGATGTCCTCTAGGGTCATATTGTTAGGTAGCCAGAGCAGGGACCAGGTGTGTCTACTGAGCATGCTCCAAATTCAGGCCCTTACACCGGGGAGGCAGTACACCTGGGTGGGCCCAAACTAGGCCAAGTGAGCTTAATTCAGCCAATGGG